TTTTCAAGCTGTTGTACATATTAATACCTACTTGTTTTTTATTTTTAATTGATTGATTGGTTGGCTTGTAAAGACAAGGTCTTGCTATCTAGTTCAGGCTGGCCTTGGACTCACAACAATCCTCCTGTTTTAGCTTCCCAAGACTGAGATTACAGTTTTTTGTTTTGTTTTTTTTCTTAATCTATGTCTTGCTATGTATTTTAGGCTGACCTTGAATTCACTATGTAGCTCAAACTGGCCTTGAATTTATGGTAATCCTCCTGTCTCAGCCTCCTAAGTGCTGGGGTTACAGGTATGCAGCACTACGCCTGGCTAGGGATAACTTGTCATAGTAGCTATTATGGTCCTAATTAATATACTCTTTTTCCAGCTTTGATTCATCTCTTTCTAGACATTTGGTTTAGACCATACAGACTGAAGGATTTGGTCAGACTTGATGCTTGTTAGGGGGTGGGGAAGATGTTACTCTTGGACTTGGAGTACTGCGAATGGTAGTCTTACTCAAGTGCCTATGAGCAGGTTGTACAGTATGTGATGTCAGTGAAGACTGCCATGGACCCAGGCCTAGGACTGTTAGGTTTTTTTGTTTTGTTTTGTTTTTACAGTTTCCAGGGTCTTCTCCTGACAAGACTTCACTTGATCCTCAAAACCATTTTGTGAGTGGTGTTCATCATTTACATTTGACAGACCAGGAAACTGAGGCTCAGAGAGAAGTGAGTTGTCCAAGCTATTTTCTTTATCATGGTAGAGATCTACTAAGCTGTGAATGTGCTCTGGGTGCTGGTACCTGGGCCTGAGCCACCACGAGGCCAATCGCCAACAGCTCATCTTTGTCCCCTCAAAGGCCCAGTCACAATGATCCCCTCTAAAAATTTGTCCTCTTCTGCTCCTGCAGAGATGCTTCTGCTCAACTCTCCACCAGAGATGCCAATTTCTGCTGTAACCACCGGGACTCCCACTAACCCTGGACTCTTCATATTAGCCCTCAGCTAGTTTTCTCCACTCTACGAGAGTGGTGGAGTATTTCTACCCCACAAACACTGTTCAACTTCTGTCTCACTGGTTTCCCTTGGTTACTCATGAGTAGTCTCTGGCTGACACTTCTGATCCTCTTCCCCTGTGGAACCTCCTAGGTTTAGGCTTTGCCCTCTCTGAATCCAGTCTTCTACCAGACCCCAGTCTCTTCTCACTGTAGCTAGGTTACTGACATTTTTTTTTTTTTTTTTTTTTTTTTTTTGGTTACTGACATTCTTAAAGTTACCCCCACTGAGTTCTACCAAAAGGCCATGTTGCTTAGCTGGAAATTGAAGGCCCTTTGAGTTCTAGACTCATCCAATCCTCCTCTCAAACCATACTTTTCATGTGTTACAGACATGTTCCTTAAACTTTCAGACATCTTCTCTACCTTTGCATCTTTCTTCCTTTGCTGAGAATGCCTTTCCTCTCCCTGGGAATTCTACTCATTCTTCATGACTCAATTTCATGTTTTAGAACAAATATTCATTATCTCACCAGTTAAGTACTCCCTACTCCCTATTCTAGATGCTGGGGAGTCAGCAGTGACTGTGGATGATAAAAATCCCAGCCCTTGTGGAGGTCCAGGGGAATGTACATGTCCTAATTTGGCCAGGTATAGGTAAATCTCTAGAAGGGCACACTGCTTGGGAAGGGAGAGGCAGACAGGCAGACAACTTTTGTTGTACATACATGTTTCTCTCTGTTTCCATCTCTGTCTCTGTCTCTCTCTGTATCCAGACATCTACATCTACATTCACAAATTCAACCATGGGGGAAAATTTGGAAAAAGTTTCATCATTACTAAATAAGCACAGACGTTTTCTCTCTCATTAGTCCTTAAACAATAGGTATAACCTGATATGATTTACATATCATTTACATAATATGAGTATTAAATATTAGTAATATAGAGATGATTAAAGTATGAGAGAGTATTCATAGGTTATACGCAAATATTGTGTCATTTTCTAAAAGAGACTTGAACATTCTGTGATTTTGGTATAGAGGGGTAGTCAGAACGAATCCCTCTGAGGATATCAAGGCATGAACTGTATGTTCAAGCACAATACAGGAATGTATTCATGAGAAAATAGTAATTAAAATGAATGATTCAGAAAAGATGCCAGGGATTTAGCTCAGTAGCATAAGTGCCTACCTTGCAAGTGCATGGTAGTGTTTGATCCCCAATACAAAAAAAAAAAGAAGAAGAAGAAAGAAAGAAAAGATGTCTTAGTACTCAATTCTGAATACATTCATTCAAGGGGACAGGATATTAAAATAAAGGAGCAACCAATCAATATCACACCTTTGGAGATCTATATCAGGTGTCATTAATTCAGGCAACTGTAAAATTAGTGGCCAGATAGAGGTTAGCTTAGAAGAAGAAAACATTTGTAAAGGGGTAGTCCCTTTTAGCACCAGCACATTGTTGTTTTGCAGACATAAGGACCTATATTTCCTAATTTTTTCTTGAAAAATCAGAACTCTAGGGGTTTTTTATTTTAAAGAAAAAATCCAATAAAAACGATGGTACAAAAATTCAAATTAAGATTGTAAGAGAGTAACAATGGTTAGTATGTTGCATATTCTTTTGTTTGCTTTTTGGTTTTTGGCCTTTTTGAGAGGATCTAACTATACAGTTCAGGCTGGCTGATTTTGAGTACACTTTGTAACCCTGAGTGGTCTCAAACTTGCAATGATCCGCCTGCCTCAACCTCCTGAGTGCTGGAATTACAGGCATGCACCAGCATACCTTGCTGTACTGTTATCTTCAAGGTAGGTGCTGGTATTATAAGACATGGGAATGAAAAATTGATCAAACAATATAGGCACAAATCTTTCTTTTCAATGAACTAATAGAAATTAGTAGTATAACTACCTGAACTTATTTTCTATATATGTATATATATATATATATATATTTATATTTATTTAAGAAGTCTGGATTTCTGATGTGAATTTTCAGTACCACAACTTACTGTGATACTTAAATCATTCATCAAAATAGAATTAGCAGGTAGAACAGTACTCTGGATGCAGGCTACCACATAATCACAGCCAGCCTTCCTGGACTTTTGAATGGATCCTTCTTGCTGTGCAGGGCACTGTCATTGAATCTAGATGGATTCCAAAACCATCCCAAGGCAGGATCTGTGCCAGCTCTTCGTGTGTCAACCTGAATTGAGCCTGCAGAGTTGGGGGTAGTTAAAGTTCCCTAAATAACTGGGCTTGGAGCCAGCTGGAGTGGATAAAGCTAGGCATGGCTTCAAGGCTCCCCTGGGCTACTCAGTCAGTTCAAAGTGGCACTGGGGTAGGACTCCAGGTGTCCTCTTTCTTTCTTTCTTTCTTTCTTTCTCTTTCTTTCTTCTTTTAGAGACAGAATCTTGCTATGCAATTCAGGCTGGCCTTGAGCTCACTTTTTAGCTCAAGCTAGTTGCAAATTTGCAATGATTCTTCTGCCTCAGCCTCCTGGGATTACAGGCATGTGTCACCACACCGGCTCTTTTTTTAAAACTAATAAAAAAATTGTATTTACTTGGAAGCATTCAGAATGCCAACAAAATGCTGCAACTTTTTTTTTCAATTATAGAGTGCTATTCAGTTAATAGAACAGTTATTTCACATAGACTGCATCAGAGACAACTGAAGATGAAAAACTACTGTCCCCATATATAATTTGTGTTGCCAATTTATAACCCCCATAGTGTACCAGGCAAGGTTAGTGGCTATTGAAAATACCACCAGGACCGGCCTATCTAAAGATACATTTGGTAGTGTGCTAAACATACAAAAAAAAAAAAAAAAGACACTGTACAGTTTAAAAACATCTTACTCAGCCTTACATTTCAGCTTTGTTCTTCAAAAGGAGTGATTTGTGTTCAAGGGGTTTAAATATTTTATAGACAAGAAAAAAACTGCACTAGAACCAACTTATGCATCATCATCTTCTTCTTCATCCTCTGTTTTCCTCCTTTTTGTGTTCCTCATCTTCGTCCTCTTTCTTACTTTATTTAGCCTTGACAAGTCCTTTTGTTGCTGCTGATCTTCCTTTAGCTCGGTAGGCAGCAAAGTCCTTTTCATATTTCTTTCAGCTTAGCAGCCTTCTTCTCATAAGGCTGCTTGCCATTTGCTGCAGTATTATTCCACGTTTCTCCCAGTTTCTTTGCGACATCACCAATGAAGAGGCCAGAATGTTCTCCTTTGATTTTTGGACTATATTTAGAGCTGAACAAAAAGGCCGAAGGAGGCTTCTTGGGCGCATTGGGATCCTTGAACTTCTTTTTTGTTTCTCCCTTAGGAGGAATATAAATTTTTATTTCTCTTTCATAACGAGCCTTGTCCGCCTTTGCCACGTCTTCAAATTTTCCTTTGTTTTTAGCAGACATGGGCTTCCACCTTTCTGAGCGTTTCCTAAGAAAACTCTGAGAAATAGAAGCATCTGGGGGCTTTTTCTTGGGCTCCTCTCGGCAAGTTTGCACAAAGAATGCATATGATGCCATTTTGCCTCTCGGCTTCTTAGGATCTCCTCTGCCCATGTTTACTTATTTTCCTCAGAGAGGCACAAAGTAGCTCAGTTGCCCGTCCAGCTCTTGGTTGTCCCTACGCTGTCTTTTGGAGCACAAAGTACTACAATGGCTGTGAGAGTGGGAGTCAGACGCAGCCTCCTCACCCTTTCCGCTCTGTAACCTGTTTCAATTTAGAGTTCCTTCCCACCTAGCTGGGAAAAATGCGACACGGTCAGTGCCCTAAGGGTCAAGCCACTGTGAGTTTAGTGGTCTTTGCGAGTCCTCCCGGTGTAAACAGCCCATAAAAACTACAAGTTCCAGCACGCCCAGTTCAAAAACGACGCCCGCGCTGCTCGCGGCTCAAACTATTCCTCTGTTTCTCAGTGGCTCGGAAGCCTAACGTGCTGTTCCGCGATTGGCTGCAACGCTTGTCGCGTCTAAGAACCCGTTGCTGAGTCCGCCCGCAGGTACCCTGGTGCCTCCAAGGTGATGGAACAGCACTCGACCAGGATAGAGGGCTGCCCAGCCAGTAAAGATGAAGTCCCCTCGGCTGCAAGGCTTTGCTTTTTAACTCTCGGGGACACTGAAGATGGAGGCTTCCGGCCGGAGGCCATTAGCTAGGACACCCGGAAGGCGGAACTCCTGGGGCGGAAGTGGCCGAGAGTGGAGGAGAATGGCGGCAGAGGGTTGGTTTTGGCGCTGGGGCTGGGGCCGGCGAGTCCCAGGGAGGACTGGGCTTCCTGGCCCCGGCCCTGGCCCCGCTACTCTTGTACATATTCTTCTGTTGCTGGGGCCGGTGGCTGCGGATATAACTGACGGCAACAGTGAGCATCTCAAGCGGGAGCATTCGCTCATTAAGCCCTACCAAGGTGAGGCCTGAGGCGGGCATGAGTGAAGGTGGGGGCTGTACCAAGTTGAGTGAGGACGTGCACTCTTGTTTTGAGCAGAGTAGCGCTGTGGGTTTCTAACCTGTGACACGGCCAGTCCTGGCTGACCTGTCTGTGCCTGTCTTTCTCCCCACAGGAGTTGGTTCTAGCTCTATGCCTCTTTGGGACTTCCAAGGCAGCACTATGCTCACGAGTCAGTACGTACGTCTGACCCCTGACGAACGCAGCAAAGAGGGCTCTATTTGGAATCACCAGGTGAGTGGTTCCCACGAGGCTGGACTTAAATGGTTCACTGAGCCACGGCCTCCCCGCCAGCCAAGACCTGAACTTGGTTTATAGGCGTGCCCCTCTGTTCCACCCCTTGTTAATCTCTTACCAGTAATAAGAGGCAGTGGATATTGAGTAGTTATTGTGTCAGGAGCTGTGGTTGAGGCTTTACACTTTCTTCATTTGATTTCTTCAAAAGCCATGAGAGTTAAGTGGTGTTAGCACCATTTTACTGAGAAGCTAAGGCTCGGTTAAAAGTGCCTTATCCATAGTCACATAACCAGAAATTAAGGTGCTGTCAAACTGTTTAAAGAACCACCTCAGTGGTGGGGAAAATGAAGCAAACTGGATCTTTATTTGATATTTTGCTGTTTTTTAGGCACTGACCTTGCCATGCTTTATTGCATTTAATTCTCAAGCAGGCTACTTGAACAAGGTGGCATTCATGACCTTATGCAGAGCTAATACAGCCAGTAAATTACAAACAGTATTTACACTGATCTGTCAGATCTCCAAGTGCAGCAGAAACTAGAAACAATTGATCTCCTCCTTCTGGACAGTAGGATCCCTTTGATATCCTTGCAGGCTTAGACCTCTTCTCCCATGCTTGCTTGACGGTGTTGTCATTCAGGAAAGTCTATTTGTAGCCAGTTTTGACATTGATGATTTTTGCCCTTTATGTCAGAGAGCCTGAGGTGTCACTGACATGTTGTATGTGAACAGTGGCCAAGGTGAGTTGCTGCACAGTGTTTGAGCTGAGGAAATGTAGGTTGGAAAAGGGAATTATTTGGGGGTGGGTCATAAGTTTAGAATGAATCTGTTCCTTCCCTAGCCTTCTTGATCCATCCCTTCCCATGGTCTACACCATTGGCCAATGCCCCCATCACTCTGCTCCTTCGTTCCTTGTGACTCTCTTTCTCCTTTAGTTGTGGGAGTCTACCCTATCCTTGTGTTGCCTCATCTCTCTTCCTGCCTTGTGCCACCACACTGCTGTTTAAAAGGCATCTGTACTTTCTTCAGTTCTTACTGTGATCCTCAGAGCCTGGGGTCTCCTGTGAAGGATAACTGCACACTTTGTCTGTACAATCTGGCCCATGGTGCCTGGCAACTCTAGTCATTCTGTTGATTTTGTTCCAACTCTCTGCCTTCTCACCTCAGGACCTTTGCACTTGTTGTTCCCTCTATCTGGGACATTGCCTCCTGGTTCTTCATGCCTACTTGATTCCTTCTGTTAAGTCTCAGTTCAAGTGCCACCCACTCAGTGACTATTTCATTAACTCCCTTTTCTCCCTCGAAGCACGTTGTGTCACAATATTCTGTTTTAGGGTTCCCTTCACCCCCAGGGTCAGACTCATGTTCTTGCACATTCTGGGCAAGCACTCTGCTATACCTCACTAGTTTTTAGAGATGATAATATACTCTTATATTTTTCATAGGAAGGAGTTAAGCATAATGCTGAGTTTAAAAAAACAAGGCACAAATAGTATTAGAAATGTTAGAAACTGGGTTTAATTACAAAGAATAACCATACCCAAGAAAATTATTTAAATTATGATTGTAGGTAGCTAGTGGTTGGTATTTGCAGTGACTTGGAGATGTTACAGGATGGAGAGCATTCTGTTCTTTATCAAATTTGCAGTCTAAAATATAATGATTTTGCCTTCCACCCCCATATTCCTACTCAGCTCCGTAGATCTTTCTTGTTGGGCCCTACTGATGCTCCGTAAATATTTGGAGTATCTCCTATATTCCTCAACACAGTTGCTTGAATCTCTTAGAATTTTCTGTTAAGTGCTTCCCAAGAACTATCTCTCCCTTCACTGAGCTGAAGAGATGCTTTCTGCACTTTTTGTTTTTCTGTCTCCATTTGCTTCATCTGGGGGAGACACTGAATTAGCAAATACCCCCCACATTCCTACTGTCTTCTGAGCTGTAATGTAGCTCAAAAGTAACTAGAACTCCAGGTGTCTGATAGTTGAAGCAGAAGACACAGACTCAGCCTCCATCTTGAAGGCGTTTTGTGTAGAGGTTGTAGGAGTGGCCTTTAAGCTGTTTTTTTTTCCTTTATAAATTAATGTTCCAATCCAGAATTATTTGTCCCTTACAAAAGTTGATATAAAAATCATTTTAAGTTTAAATATTTAGTGAGGTATGTTGGTACACATCTGTGATCTCAGAACCCAGGAGGCCAAGGCAGGAGGATCGCTGTGAGCCAGGGTGGGCTGCGTAATGATTCAAGGCTAGACTGAAATACATAGCAAGATCCTATCTCAAAAAATAAAAACAGCCAAATATGGTGGTGCATATATGTAATGCCAGCACTCTGGAGGCTGAGGCAGGACAGTTGCTGTGAGTTTGAGGCCCACGTGGGCTACAAAGTGAGTGCAAGGCCAGCCTGAACTCCATGGTGAAACTCAGTCCCAAAAAAAGACAAAAATAAATCAAATGAAAACAGCCAGGCATCATGGTGTATGCGTAAAATCCCAGCATTTGGGAGGCCATGGCAGGAGGATTGCTAGGAGTTTGAGGCCAGCCTGAGCTACATAGTGAAACCCTGTCTCAAAGATAAATGAACAAAAATTTGCAAAAGGAGTGGAGGTGTAGCAGTGTGGCCAGCAGTGGAGCACTTGTGTAAAAGCCCTGGATTTGATCAGGTCCTGCAGTTTCAGGAAAGGACACATGGATTCAGGAGCTGGGACTACAGGCATGTGCCACCACGCCTGGCTTCTACTGTTTTTAATGGTTACTATATTTGTCTGTTACTGTATTTAGTTCTGGTGTACTTTTAATGTGAATTTTTAAAATTTCAGTTACCTTCCTGATTTCTAAATCTTGTCTTTTGTTTCCTTGAACATATTTGAAAGTCTGGTACCTGTAATTCCTCCTGACCTTCCTTTTTCTCTTCATTTTATTCATACTGTTTCTCTTTGTCTGCCTGGTTATTTATGACTGTGTGTGGGACACTGCATTTATGCAGTTGTTTGTAGGAAAGCTTAAGGCCTGGATAAGTTACCTTAGTCTGATTTGGGGCAGAAGAAGGACTCAAAGGTGACTTGAGTCCCTGGGAGGGCCTTTCCTAGTGCGCGCTTGCTTTTGGGTTACAATCTTTGTGCAAATCTAACTCAAAGCAAGGCCTCTATAATCCTCAGTAGACTTCGCACTCAAATTCCTTGTGTCCTTGAGAGCTAGTTCTCGTCACCTTAGATGCCCTCACCAGACTGGCGAACCTTCCAGAATTGAGGAGACTTTGAAGTTTTACACTGTTTGCAAGCTGTTTTGCAGTTGCTTCCGATCTCCATGATCTCAGGGGCCAGACTGGGTCTCATCATCTGGGTTTCCAGGACCCAGAGATGAACAGTGAATCTGGTGGATCTATGAGCGCATAAGCTGATTTGCCAACATTGGTACATAACCTTTTCTATTTTTGATTTGAGTTTTTCCTGGTAATAGAAGTAATATATTCATTATACACTCTCCAAACATAGAAAGTAAACATTCTTGGGCTGGGGATTTAGCTCAGTGGCATAAGCACCTAACGGGCAAGCACGAGGTCATGAATTTGATCCCCAGTACCACAAAAAGAAAGAAAGTAAACATTCTCACAATTCTCTCATAATGACCTAAAATTAATATGAGTTCTTGTTTTGTTTTTTTTCTTAATTACCTCCCCCATGAGACTATAGCTGATACTACTTACAACTTACTTTTTCTTTTAGTGTCTTTGATACCTATAGATGTAAGTGTTTCTGGGATCTGCCGTATTGTTAAAAAGCTGCAATCAAATTTCCCCCAAGAAAACAGAACCATTTACAGTCTTACCAGTTATCTGAAAGTGCTATTTCTTTGTGCCGGCTGTATTCAATACTAACGATCTTTTTAGTAGCTCCCACAATGACAGATCAATACTACCTCGTTTTAGTTTGCCCTTCATCACATGGCCATCTGTTGACTTCTCTAAATGGACTCTTGTCGAAGTATGTTTACTTTAAGTTTTCTTGAGCAGTTTCCTGGTAGGGAAGGGGAGGGTGTTTACCTTTGCTGTGAGCATCTGGTTCGTGTGGCCATGGGGAGGATCTGTTTCTCTCACATGGTGGCCCAGAGCCACCTCCCTGAACAGCCCCCATCCCTGGGTTGAGCTGGGTTTCTCGGAGGTGTTTTGGGCCAAGAGTTGGGCTTTGCAGTCAGCCAGACCAAGTTTGAATCTCAGAATTTCCTCAGCCTGCTTTTCCCCACTTTGGAAGGTTGGATATAAGAGAAGATGGGTGGCATGGGTAGAAAGGATTTGGTACAATTTATATTTAAAGGCCTGAAGGTCTTGGGAAGCCTAGGACAGTGCCAAACCTATGGCACGCATGCCATAGCTGGCTGTTTGTATCATTGGGAGTTCTAAAAGGTTTGCTGTCACTGGCCTAGAAGATGGAACTCAAATTTTCAGACAGACCTGGGTAAGAATCAAGACCATACTGTAACCTGCCATGTACAACTGCTTCAGCATTTCTGTTATTGAAAATACCGGCTCAAATAGGGGTAGTTATCTACCTGCAGGACCTCAGAGTAGGAGCAGTAGGGGTTGGAGATGAAACAGGCTAAAGGATTTGGTTGGTACTAACAGTATAAAAGCAGGCCCAGGGAAGCAGAGGCCAGGCCTCAAGCAACCTTGAACCACTGTGGTTTTCCCTTCTTGCTTGAGGATCTGAGGTTGGCGGCACTTATGACTTTGCTACCTGACCCTGGGATAAGGACTGGGTACATGGTCTTCATGGGGTTGGGAAAAGAGAAATGTTACACAGGTTCTGGGCCAAGATCCTCCTCAGCTTTTTTAAAGGCTGGGGAGTTCTGAGCAGCCCTCTCTGCTCCCACTTCAGCCCTGCTTCCTCAAGGACTGGGAGATGCATGTCCACTTCAAAGTCCATGGCACAGGAAAGAAGAATCTTCATGGAGATGGCATTGCCTTGTGGTATACCCGGGACCGCCTCGTGCCAGGTAGGGCAGGGCTAGCTCAGGGATGCTACTGAGTCCCAGAAAGTGGGGCAGCCGTGAGGCTGGCTTCGAGCCACCAGGGAGGTAGAGGCAGGTGAGACAAGGGGGTTTTCCTCTGCTTCTGTGGTCAAAGATTTTCTGCTCTGCACCATCATGCGAGAAGATACTGCTGCTGTCCTCAGATGAAACTGCACTTTGGAAAGGAGTTTGGCTGTGGCAGGAGGGCTTCTTAGGAGAGGAGAGCAGCTAGACCTCCCTGCTCCACACCATTCTCCCTTGTGACCTGATTTTGGCCATTCTGTAATTTGAGGGGTCTGTTATTTCAGTACTGGAGACTGAGTCAGGGCCATTGCACTAAGCTACTCCCTAGCTGTTGACTTAGTTTTTATTTTGAGATAGGGTCTTCCTAAGTTGCCTGGTTAGGCTGAACTTGCAATCCTCCTTCCTCCTGGGATTATGGGTGTACACCACCAGACCCTAGTAGAGTTATTTATTTATTTTTTTAGAGGGTAAAACATGAAGACTATTAGACACTGTCCATAGCCTGCAAAGTTAAAAATGTACCCTCTGTGGCCCTTTACAGAAAGTTCACTGCCCTCGGCCTAAGGGCTATTCCTATGGACTAGGAAGCCTGCTGGCTTGAAACTGGCCCAGCAATGTGGCTGGCTACTTAGGTCAGATTTGCTGCACCCCAACAGCCTTCCTGACCCACTTCATCTTTTTCCTTCAGAGTTTCTCTTCTCTCCTGGGTGAATGATCTCTAGCCCCTACCTACACTGCTTTTGAGCTACCCAGAAGACATTTCTAGTTTTTCCCTTTGTGAGTATCTCCTTCTAATTCCAGGGCCTGTGTTTGGAAGCAAAGACAACTTCCATGGCTTAGCCATCTTCTTGGACACATATCCCAATGACGAGACCACTGAGGTAGGGCCCTGTTCTCTCCTGTGGAGCAGGAAGGCAAGGACTGGGCAGTTGGCTAGAAGTTGGGGACTGGGTCTTCTTCCTGGTCCAGGCACAAAAGGAGCCACCAGGGGTTGGGGTGGAGGGCACCCATCTTCCTCCCACAGTCTGGGCAAACCGTGGAATAACTAGTGTCTTGGTCCCAGCGTGTGTTCCCGTACATCTCGGTGATGGTGAACAATGGCTCCTTGTCCTACGACCACAGCAAGGATGGGCGCTGGACTGAGCTGGCGGGTTGCGTGGCTGATTTCCGCAACCGGGACCATGATACCTTCCTGGCAGTGCGCTACTCCCGCAACCGCCTGACGGTAAGCTGCCTGACAGTGTGAGGGAGGAGCCCCTTAAGCCCAAAGCTGAGCCCCTGCTGGTTCTGCAGAGGCTTGGGGAGGTGTCAGGCTCAGGCCTGCAGGTGTGCCTGACTGGCTGGCTGGCTGCAGGTGATGACTGACTTGGAAGACAAGAATGAGTGGAAGAACTGCATTGACATCATAGGAGTGCGCCTGCCCACCGGCTACTACTTTGGAGCCTCGGCTGGCACTGGTGACCTGTCTGGTGAGTGAATGAGCTGAATGGGGAATTCCTTCCAAGCCCAGGTCCTCCGTGGTCTCTTAGAAGCTTTCACACAGTTAGTAACCTTTGTTCCTTTGGTTTCCATACTCACTATCTTTCTTCTCTCTCCATTTCCTATAACTGTAGGTAGGCCCAAACAATTCATAAAACAATTCATTAGTGATCGTTCTTTATCTTTATGAAATTAGAGGCTGAATGTAGATTCTATAGATTCTGTCTCCAGACCTGTGTAAGTAGTGGCTGGCTCAGCATCCCTGTTCTCTTACTAGCTAGAGGGTTCAATCCCCATCACCTCTCTGGAGCCTCCCAAGCAATCACCCTTCTACACTAGCCCCTCTCAGTCTCTGTGCAGCAGCCAGAACAATCACAGTGCACCTCCAAGGGGTTGCCCCTGCTCAGTGCTGCAGTGGCTGCCATCTCACTCAGAGTCAGGGCCACGCCAGCCCCCTCGACACTCTGCATCACGTCTGATTCAGGGCCCACTTCCCTGCTCATGGCAGCCGCCAAGCTGGCTCTTGCTCAAGTGAAACTTCCACAGTGGAGCTTCCCCATTCTCTTATTTAAAACTGCTGTCTCCAGTCCCCAACATACTCTCCATTACCTTTCCCTTCTTCATTTTCCTGGGCTAGCATCTGTTTTTTTCAGTCAGCTGTAAAATTTATTTTATTTTCTACTTTTTTCCCCCTACCCACCATCTAAATTGTAACCTGCATGATATGCTTCATTTGTCTCACAGTAGATACTCAGGAAATGTCAGCATGCCTGTACAGGCCATGCTATGTCAGTTGGCATAGGAGATACTTGGTGGCCCTTGTCTGTGATCTGCAGTCTTCTACCAAGGGCACCTGGAAGGCACCAGGCCCAAGCCAGCTCCTAATGAGCACAACCGGGAGGGGATGTGTTAGACTTATTTATCCTCAGAATGTTGCTTATAGCCAGTGCCCCTCCCCCTCCAGGGCAATACATAGGTCCGTGTAATCTCAGGAATCCCAAAATGTCCATTGTTTTAGGATTTTATAGTTTTAATAGAGAACTCTGGTAGAGGGCCAGCACTGAGGATTGGACCAGGGCCTTCAGACTGAGCTACATCCCTTGCCTTTCTTTTTGAAACAGAGTGTTGCTTAGTTGTCCAACTGGGGTTGAACTTTCAGTCCTCTTGCCTCAGCCTCATAGAGTGCTGGGATTACAGGCATGCACCACCATGCAAAGCTTAATAGAGAACTTCCAGTTGTGTACTCTAAGCACAAACGAATGGCCTAAAGGCTCCTGTTCTGGTCCCACAGCATCTATAACTACCAGCACATGATCCGTCTTGTTTCATTAAGGATCCACCATAACACACTTCCCTTCCCTCCACTTTTACCAAGAGTTTTGTATTACAGTATCTCTTCATGGGAGGAGCAGATCTGTGGCTGATAGGTGCTCTCCAAGGTGATTTTGAGATGTCCAGTGAAGCATGGTAGAGACCGCCGCAAGAGTTAGTGCCTAGCCATTAGTTGGGGGGTTGTCGATGCCAGGCATCCTATAGGTAGTCATGGGATATATTCTTAGGTAGGTAGCAGTTCCTATTTTTATGTAACTGAGACCATAGGGAATTTGAAAATTGGAGGATTTCCCCAACACGACAAGCAGGAAGTGGCAGAGCCCAAATGGGAGCTAGAATCTGACACCATAGCTAGTCCTTGTATCTCCAGGCCACTCACCACCTTGAGGGGCTGTGCCCTCCTGCTGTTCATCTGGAGCTTCCTGATCCGGCCACCAGTTCCTTCCACTATGGTTCTAGGAGATTTTCCATTTTAAACAAGACCTTTCCCAGATTCCAGTTGGTTCATCAAGTTTTTGGCTAGAGAATCCAGCTGGCAAGGAGAGCTCCTTCTCTCTTAACGGGATGATCTGTTAGTGTCAAGCAGAGGCTCTTTCCTGCCTGGGCTCTTTGGACTATCCCTTTTCTAAGTTTCCTCAGGTACAATAACTGACACTTGTTTTGGGGTCTGGTCCTTAGCTGGACGCTCAGTTGTCTATCTGTAATGTACACTTGGGTCTCTGACAGGAGTACCTGGAAGCTGCCTGCCCTTGGGAAGATCAGGCTTCTCAGTCAGCCCTTACCTGGTCTCTGTTTTAAGTACTTACCCTCTGGCAGCAGTGTGTATTTCATGTTCTGTGTATGTTCATTAGCTTGCCATAGTGCCTAGACAGCCTAGAGGAGGGTTATCATACCAATCCCATTTTACAGATGAGGAAATTGAACCTCAAAGCGGGGAGCAGACATGGGATTTATACTCAAATGATTTTGAACATAAAGCTCATGCTCTCTTTTTGCCACCTAGTCTCTTCCTCCTAGGTTTCTTTTTTTTTTTTCTTCTTCTTTTTTCTTTTTTTTTTTTTGAGACAAGGTCTCACTGTCGCCTCAGCTGGCCTAGGACTCTTGATGATCTTCCTGCCTCAGCTTCCTGAATGCTAGAATTACAGGCACATGTCACCATGCACAACTTCTCTTTTATTTTCTGTGTGTGTGTGCGTTGCTAACCACACCATCTATCACTGAGCTGCACCCTCCATCCCTCGCAGATTTCCTAGAATACTGTCTTCCTGGGGCTGGAGGTAGCAGGGAAGAAAAGAGGCCAGCCATGGGCAGGAGCAGTACTCTCAAGCCCAGGCCAGTTCTTTGTCTTTGGAGAGGGACTCGGACCATGCACCTGAGGCTGGGTCCAGATAATATGAGGTATATTCTTCATCCCATAGACAATCATGACATCATCTCCATCAAGCTGTTCCAGCTCATGGTAGAACACACTCCGGATGAAGAAAACATTGATTGGACCAAGATTGAGCCTGGTGTCAGCTTCTTCAAGTCTCCCAAAGGTATGTGTGAACATGGTTCCCTCCCTACCTGAGCCTCAGGTGAGCACTGTGGTCCTTCTGCCCTTCCCAATCCAGTAATGGCTGTGGTCTGAGCTCAGCCTTGCCTTGGGGAAATGGTATTGACTGACCTTGCCCAAGCTCCTAGAGGTCAGGAGTTTGGGTTGGGTCACCTCTGAGGAGTTTTCAAGTAAATGGGTGAGGCAGAAGTTACTTAGAGACCGTCCTCCTTGCATTTCCTAAGGTAGAGAGGCCATATTTGAACGTGGGTTTCAGCAAAACCATAAAGCCTGATTTCATCCACTAATTGTCTCTCTGTCCCGTGGAGTGAATGTTCCGGCTGGAGGAATGAGGCATTTCCACTTCCTCCTACCCCAAGAACTGTGGAGCCAGTGGTGACATAAGTGCATGGACGGGGCCGGGGATACAGCTCAGTGGTGCAGTGCCTGCCTGGCAAGCACGAGGTCCTGAGTTCAGTTCCAGGTATCAAAAAAAAATGCTGGACACAGTAGTACAGGCCAAAATCCCAGCACTTGGCTGAGGCAGGAGAATTGCAAGTTTGAGGCCAGCCTGAACTATGCAGTGAGACCCTGTATAAAAAAAGAAAACAAAAAGAAAATAACATGCATGGAACAGGCCTGAGTGAGCTTTACCAGGCTGAGATGTGAAGGGCTTAGCCCAGTCCTAGGTTCCATTCCCAGTGTTTTTCCGGGTTTTTAAGAGAAGTCAGAATCTAGCCTTCTATGTGATATTTCACTTTTTCAAAGATTGGAATGGCTTTTAAATATTTTAGGTGCCAGACAAATCCTGTCACCATTGGTCAGACTGGTGGCTGCTGAGTGCTTTCAAGGATGCCGTCTACTCTGCGTACCCACTTTGTGGCTGGCGAGGCAGAGATTAACTGATTTTCAGACTTGGTGATCTACTTGTTCCTTCAGCAGATGTTTCCAGAACTTTACAACTAGCCATGGGCTAGCACTGGAAACCTGAGGAGAGGCAGGGCCTGTCCTAGGGCTCAGTCTAGCAAATGAGGCAGAAAAGGGATTATTTGTGGGAGCCCTGAAGCTCTCCTGGTTCAGCCAGTAGCCATTGCTGTCATTGTGCAGGGGCCTGCCTGGGGCAGGCTTTGCAGGAGGGGTGGCTGTAGGTTGGCTTGGAGTCAGTGTTCTATCAAGTGGGCAGTGTGGATGCAACTGAGGGTCAAGACTAGCACCCGAGGCTGGGTTGAGAGGCCCGTGCAGACCTGCCCTGGAGAGTGAGGCCTGCATCTAGGAGGAGGCTGAGTAACTGCAGCAAGGCTCAGCCCAGACCTCACCTCCTCCATCTATGACTGGGTATTTCCTTCTCTCGTCCTGGGAAAGGGAATTCACGAGGGCACTATATCCCAGAGTGTTGAGGATCCCTGAGATCCCACATACATCAAGGCCCGGCACCCAGCAGGGGGAGGGGCTGCCAGGGCCCTTCAGCTGTGAGATCACCCTTTGGGGAGGGCTGTGCTTCCTGGGAGGGCTTTGCCCACAGATCTGATCCTTGGGCTTATCCTGGACAGAATCAGGCTCTTGGAGGGAGCCTAGGGATCTCTGGTTTTAACCAATGCCTTGCAGCAGAATGCACCGCAGGCCTCAGGTCCTGGGACCTTGGTCCCTGTGGGATTGACCCTCTTTCTACTCCTGTCCTGCCAATTATGGACCTAAGAGCTTAGCTGTGGCCACCAGACATTGCCCTGCAACCAGCACTGTCCCACATGTAGGCTGTATGTCGTGGCCCCCTGAGATGGTAGACCTGGTCCTGGGCCATGATCCTGTTAGCTGCATTCCTAGAGGCCAGCTGTGCCCAGCCCCTCCTCCTTTGCCCATTCACCACCCTGTTTCTCCTCCCCAGACAACGTGGACGACCCCACAGGGAACTTCCGCAGCGGCCCCCTGACGGGTTGGAGGGTATTCCTGCTGCTGCTGTGCGCGCTCCTGGGTATCATTGTGTGTGCTGTGGTGGGCGCTGTGGTGTTTCAGAAGCGCCAGGAACGGAACAAGCGTTTCTACTAAGCTGCCGCCCCGTGGAAAGAGCCTGACTTCCAGCCGAGGCTCTAATGTGAACTTTTTTTTTTTTTTAAACTGGGATCGTAAAAGAAAAACACGATCTTATTTCTTAACCGTTTCAAAGAAATGATTAAAGTATTTTCGTACATTTTGCTTCTTGCCCAGCATGGACAGATGGCAGAGCTGGTGTCTGCATCCCCACAGCTGGGGATGAGGCTCTCAGTACTGCTCTGGTGGCATGTGAGGAACAGAGGCTCTGTACCCGGGGCTGTGGCCCTGGACATGGCTGTTGAACACTGGAGGGCCCCCCAAACCACATTGGGGTGGCTCCAAGGACCCAGGGCAGTGGTTTTGTTCTGAGGCGTGTGATGTGTATGATGACAGACAAAGCTCACTTTGGGGAACCTGGGCCTTCCTGTCCCCCTCTGAGCTTGTGCCAGGGCCGACCTCAGATGAGGGTGGAGGAGCTGTTTGGTGGGGCTCAGAGTGTGACTGTTTACTAAATAAAGTGAAGTAGCCAACCTTAGCCTTGCAACTGTCCTCGGGAGCTTTGCTTTTTCCTTTGATAACTTCTAGCCAGCCTCTGGCCCTCAGCAGAGCACCAGCTGGGAGGGATGTGGTTGCCCCATTTCCCAGGTGGAGAAACAGTACAGTGAAGCAAAATGTGCCCGTCGTCATCACCCAGCAAGTGGTGTGTTAGAGACTGTGCAGTCTCGTGCTCCGGGCCTCTCAGTAAAAGGACAGCATGGGGAGGGCAAGGGGGCTGCAGAGGGTGTGACTTCAACCTGGCTTCAAGGATAGAGGAGAGCAGGATGCAGAGGAGTGCAGTGACAAGAAATTCAAGAAGCGGGGCTGGGGGTTTAGCTCAGCGGCATAAGCGCCTGCCTTGCAAGCAGGCAGTCGTGAGTTCGATCCCCGGTACCGATAAAAAAGAGAAAGAAAAAAAAAAAAAGACTCAACATTGCTGGTGGGCTTGGGGCAAAATGTAGCTCAGGATGTGTCTTCCTCACTGTCATGCTGTTGGAATGAATTGACTCGTGTCTCTGTTACGTTACCCCTGAACATTTTAGGTGGTTTCCAGGTTTTAGCTCTTAAATGTTGCTTGTGCTTCAGATGTTCTTGCACATGTCTATCCTTGCAAATGTAAAGTTGCTGGGCACCTTGTGTACATTTTCAGTTTTACTGGACGGGGCCCCATTGCTCTCCAAAGTGGAGCGAGTCCTTTTCTTCCCACTGTGGTTAATGGCTGCTGAGATTCCCCTCTGCCCACTAAGCATTTGATGACCATTTTCAACTTTTAACAATCTGATATGTGTAAAAGTTTTAGTTTCTGTTTTTTCGCAAGTCAGTTTGAAGATCGTTATCAGTTGTGTAATTTCTTCTGTGGTACTTTAATTTTAGCCTCCTTTTTCTTTTTATTACTAGTGTACAGTTTTCTTATATAAGAATCCTTTGGTTATATGCTTGGCTTTCTACTTTGTAATGATGGCATTTGATGTAGTGTCTACCTTCAAGTGTCACTTACAGATCTTTCCCAAATACTGTTTTCCCTAAGAGAGAGAGAGAGAGAGAGAGAGAGAGAGGAGAGAGAGTGTGTGTGTGTGTGTGTGTGTGTGTGTTATGGGGATTGAACCCAGGGCCTTCCCAATGGGTTGCATTGATTGCCAGGCCTTTTGTATTTTGAGATTTTGAGACAGGGTTTCACCAAAATTAGCATTTAATCTACTTGGAATTTATTTTTGTATGTATTGGCTGTGAGGTAGGGATTGTTCACTGTCTTTACCCTGTTGTCTCATCGCTCATCCTTCCTCACCCGCGGAGGCCCCATGGCAACCACTGCTAATGCTGCCCCTTGCTCTTCTCCTCTTTTAGTGGCTGGAAGGCTAAGTATTCAGGTGACCTCCCCAGCTCCCTTCTAGCTAGAGAGGATGTGTACTGGGGAGGGTCTTGGACTGGTTTATTTCCAATGTAAAGAAGCTAGTGTGGCCATTTGCCCACCCATCTTCCTGCCTGGAACTGAAGGGTACACACGAGGGTGCAGAAGCCATCTGTGACCATGGAAGCTGAAGCAGTGCGTGGAACTGGCGTGTGATGGGTCCGTGATAGCATGGCTGGGGTGCCGCCCAAAGCTTGGACTGCTAACTGCTGGGTTTTTACATGGAAAAAAAAATAAATCCTTATTTGTTCAAATTATTGTGTCCTACGTGCTCTTACTTGGAAGTAAAAACAGCCGCATCCCTGTACCGCTGTGTATGTGGTGACTTTGCTGACACACCTGGGCCTGCCTTGCACAGCACCTGACAGTCATTCACCTGCCTGTCCTTTGCCACACATAGTTTTGGGCTATAGTTTGGGGATAAAACAGAACAAAAAGAATAAAATCTTTTCTCCCATAGTGCTTACAGTTTAGTAGTGCAATCAGATGGAATAAATAAAATATATATACTAGGAGCTGGGGATTTAGTTCAGTGGCATAAGCACCTGCCTTGCAAGCAGGCAGTTGTGAGTTCGATCCCCGGTACTGATGAAAAGGAAAAAGAAAAAACAAAAACAAAAAATACATATGCTGGATAATGCTTGTGTTTGTTTCTTAGAAATGTGGAAGAAGAACTGTAAACTTGGTGACCTTAACAGAAATTTACCAATAAGAAGACTGAAAGCCTGAAATCAAATTATTGGTGGGCCATGTCCTCTCTGACTCTCTCTGGGATCACCATTACCTTTTCCCTTTTCCCAGCTTCTGGCAGTTCTTGGCAATCTGGAGTTCATTGACTCGTAGACACACACTGTAATCACTGGTTCCATCGTTACATGGCTGTCTTCACATCTTCCCTGTCTGCATGCCTGTTGTGGTCAAGGTTTATAAGGGCAAATATTTAATATAGGACACAATTTATAGGATTATTTTAATATTCACCCCAAGAGTCAAATGCAGAAAAGTTCAGGAGATCTGTCCATACACTAAAGACCCAAAGAATAGCTGAGGATCTGGATCCCATGGCAGTGTCCTGCACAAGTTCAGCTAAAGACCTGCAGCCCATGTAATGTCCTCCATGAGTCCAACTGGGGGCTTAGAGCCCATGACAATGTCTCATGCAAGTCTGTACCAAGGATCTGCACTGAGAAGGCCAAAAGGCCAGTGATGGAAGCTAGAAGGTCTGTGCCAGCAGGATGAAGGATGTGTGCCTGCAGGCTGAGGGATCTGCAGTGGAGCCAGGAAGTAACGCTCAAGGTAAAGGACCTGAGCTCCCCCCCCACAGAGAATTACAGCCATTCTCAATGACAGCAAGGAGCTGAGCCTCTCTGACGAGAACAGCTAAGTTCATACAGGAAAAGCAGCGTGACAAGCTTCTGCAGGACAGTGCCATCTTCTCCAGTTCCTGTATGCTGTTGGCTGCAATCCTCAGGTGAGCCTTCCACACCCACCCAGCGCACACTGACATAGTTCAGCTGGGCGTTACATTAGTTACCATTAGTTGTTAATCCACTACAGTGCCTGTCTAAATTGAAGCTACTAGACGTTGGGTCAGGCTCCCCCTTTCCAGTGATCTCTTCTTCACTTGGTTAAGTCTGCACAGCTCCCATTTCCAAGCCAAGTCTAGGTACTAGGGATTAGGACTGAACATGGGCTAAATTCAACCCGTAATAGTAGTTAAAGAGAAAAAAATTAATGCAAGTGAGTGAGAAGAGTGAGGTGAAAGTGGAGCAAGACCTGTGATTTTGCTAAGAACCTGAAATGAGTGAAAATTCATTGGTCTGTGTACTGAAGATCTGCACATTTTCCATATATAATATTTGAATTAGCTTTAAGATACAAGTATTTCTGTTAACCCCAGCAGTCTGAGAGGCAAATGCAGGAGGATCGCAAGTTCCAGCCTGGGCTCACCAGCAAGACTGTCTCAAAAAGAGTTTGGGGAAGTAGGTCAATGTGAAGGCCTTGGGTTCAATCTCTGAAAAAAAGAAAAAGATACATTTCCAAATGGCAGCTTTGTTGTAAGTATCTCATGGTCAGTATTTGTCATTTTCTGATTTGTGTCAATAATACTGATATCCCACATGTGGGCTAAAAGCTAATCAATAGCTCTTTATCAAACTCTTGGCATGAACTGGGCAAGGAATCCAGAAGTGAGGCCCTGCCCACTACTCCCCATCTCTACTTCCCAGTGGGAGACCCCGGGAGGAAGTGGCTTGCTAAGGAGGCCAGGAAATGTAGTTCACCAGGCTCCAGACCTAACAGTGGATTGGGCTTGCCGCTTGGAGACAGTGAATGCTTAGCCCGCTGGCCCTCATATGTACACCCCCAGGCAGTGGCTGCTGGGGACCTGGGCACCTGGACAGGGCTCCAGAGTCCCTGGGCTCCCTGGCCTGTTGCTGCAGACAGCATTCCATACAGAAGCGAAATCAGCCACTAGGAGTGCATTGTTTTATTTTTTTTTTCATTCACAGCCTAATCCTAATTCATAAAGTAAATCACGGTCAGAGGGAGAATCTTATTTAAATGCATTGAATGACTGTTAGTATATTGAGAAATGTCATCGGTCAGTTTGGGAGGGAGTCTGATTTTGTGGAAAGCACATTAGGAAGGAACAGGGCAAATTGCATCAATTTGTCTGATACTAGGAGGTAAAGATGGCTGACTGATGCATGACGGATGGGTCACCCGCTCGTGTCATGGCACATTCTCCTGATCTTACCTGGTCTGCCCTTGTGCAGTAACTGCTTGATGGAAAACTGAAAATCCTAAATCCTGGGTAGTATTCTTGATACCCTGCAAAGGCAGTTACATGTGGCCTGCACCTTCCATCATCCTGGAAGGGTAGAGTGGAAAATCAACAGAAATTACTTGATTTTGACTCCAAGTTTCTATTTTAAAAAATATGCCATTGCCCAGCATAGTGATGCATGTCTGAAATCCTAGCACTCAGGAGACGGAGACAGGATGATCACTGAGTTCAAGACCAATCTGAACTACATAGCAGAACCCTATCTCAATGAGCCGATAAAAAATGTGTTGTTAGCTGGGCATGGTGGCGCACTCCTGTAATCCCAGCACTTGGGGCTGAGGCAGGAGGATTGCTGCAAGTTTATGAGTCTGGGCTACAAAGTGAGCCCAAGGCCAGCCTGAGCTGCAAGATCCTGTCTCAAAAAGACCTAATAATAATAATGTATTGTTATAGTGGTGGTGTAGCTCAGTGGTAGAGCATGTGCTTAGCACTTGTGAGGCCCTGGGTTTAATCCTCAGCGCCAAAAAAAAAAAGAAAGAAAGAAAAAGAAAAAAGAAAAACGCAATTGCTTGCTTTCTTGGTTCCTTTTTTTTTTTTTTTTTTTTTTTGGTCTTTTTGAGACAGAGTCTCTATGCAGTTCAGGCTGGCCTTGAACTCACTTTGTAGCCCAGTCTGGTCTCAAACTCACAAGGATCCTCCTACCTCAGCCTCTCGAGTGCTAGGATTACAGGCATGAGCCACCATGCCCCGCTCATTTCTTGGTTCCTTTAATCTCTAATTCTTGTATCCTCTGTTTTCTTTTTGTGTGTTTGTGGAATATAGTTGCTCCCTGATGATGGGGTTACATCCTACATAATCATATAGGATATTTTCAATTTACCATAGGTTGAAAATATCCTAAATTGGAAATGCATTTAATACTCTTAATCCCCAAAGCATTCTAGCCTATCAAAGTGCTGCATGGTGAGCACAGTCGGTTTTCCCTAGCTTGGCTGACTCAGCCATAGCTCAAAGCCACTGCCCAGCATCTGGAGAGCACCAGACAATATATTGTTAGTTTGAGAAGAAAATCTAATGTCAAAACTGAAAGTTTGGTTTCTATTGAATGTATATCACTTTTATAAATCAGAATAGAGTGGGAGAATTTTAAGTTGAACCATGGTAAGTTGGGGACTGTGTATCTGTCCTCTAGAAATTCTTAGAGACAATTTGGGTGTTGCTATGGTTTGGCTCCAAAATGTTAAAGGCTTAGTTCCCAGCCAGGGATGTCATTGGATGATACAATCCATAGGAGGTGGGGCTAGTGGAAGCTAAGGTGGCGGAGGTGTACCCTTGAAGACACCGGAACTCTGGCTCCTCCTCTTCCTTGCTTCCCTGCTGCCATGGTGCACGGGCATCTTTTGCTACGCACTCACTATGTAGTACTGTGCCACCCGATCCTGTGGCAATAGGTCCAAGTGACCACGGACTGACACTTCTGAAACCAAGAGCCTAAACCAGCCTTTCCTTACAAGTTGATTGCCTTAGGCATTTTGTCACAGTGGGAAGAAGCTAGCTAGCTTGGGCAGTAATCATTCTTAACTCTCCTGTGCCTGAAAATATACTGTTATTCTGGAAGCTTTAAAGAATTGTTATCTTTGGTCCCTGAAACAAGATGTCTGTGCCGGTTTGAATGCAACTGGGGACCCTCTTTCAATTCGGAATTTATGTCTTCCTTCAGATTCTATTGCTTTCCTGATGGCCCATTGTGATGCTTCTGTAAGACTGCTCACACTTTTTGACACTTGTCCACTGACATGTAGTGTGAGTGCTTTTGTTGCCCTCCAAGTCTGTGATTAGTAACTAAATTGGAGTGTGAACACTCCGGGGGGCTGCGCTGTTAAGGGCAGGAGGCTTGTGTAGGATGTCACCACCTCATGGTGGAGAGCTCAGCGGCTGGTCCTGGTGTAGCCAGTTTTCTCTCTGGGCTCTTATCTGAGAATGACAAATAAGTCAAAGGGCAGCAGTGGGGAAGGAACCAAGTGTAGTTTATTAGAACAAAGAAAAGCTTTTGCGGGGCTGGGAGTTTAGCTCAGCAGTATAAGTACTTGCTTGGCAAACACGAGGTCCTGAGTTCAATCCCTGGTACAAAAAAAAAAAAAAAAATTTAAAAAAAGCTCTTGCTAGCTGAGGCCCTCAACAGAAGGATGGTGAGGAAGGCCCAAAGTTCAGGGGCTTTCTATGCGTTTTGTTGGGCCATTTTGGTAGATGCACAAAAATAAGATAGTGAAACAATGAAAACTAAGACAGTGTGGTCACTGCTTTTAGTTAGGCTTCTGATGTCAGGAGCCCCTTGTACCCTTCTTCCCAGGGCTTGTCTCAGTTTACCCAGGCTGTGGCCTGTGAAACAGTTGGTTCCATGTCTAGCGAGGCCTCTAATGTGAGCGCAGACTTCCCTGCCCTGCTGCCTGCCCTCTCGCTTCCTGG